AAATAGCATAGAAAAATAAAGCATTTTTTTCTTTATCAGACTATATAGAAAGAAAGTTACTTAAAGCTTATCATAAGGTATTAAGGTATCACTCTACGAACTTTTGGTATGCCCTAAGTAAAATAAAGAACTGGAATTTCTTTGACATAGAGGTCTACGCTCTTCTTTGTTTTATTCTTATAATTGATAACAACAAACGTAATACATGAAGAGCCCAACAATAAAAAAAACTCATGATAAATATATAAATAATATAGATAATCATATACACTTGATAGAAAGGTAGCTCTATCTGAAATGAGCGAAGCTGGACAACTGTCAATGTTCCACAGCCATACACACTTGAATGTTCATGAATATTTCTAAGACGATGACGTGAGCGAAATACTGGTGAATAGGTACATGCACGTCGGAATACAACTTCCGATGCATATATCTTGGGACAATGCCAACGACGGGAAAATATTACCATACTTGCATCGAGCTCGGGTTCAGATCCAAAATCACCATGGAATCGTTCTTCACTTTCTACTTTATAGCCAGCTTTATGTACAAGAATTGATAGAACAGATTGATCAAAACGATGTTTCATTGATGAACGTGACGTAATCGGAGCAATGCAATCAACATTCAAGGAACATGCTACGAATGGCCTCAAAATATCTTTGTAAAAACCGGAGTGATTTGTTGCGAAACCTAAAATGCCTCCTGCTGTTTGATAGTGACTATAGCTGAAATCATTTTTGCTCGTATTCAATGCTGAAAATGTTTGCTCATCAGTATGATCAATAATCAATGTTTTTTGTCGTGTGAAAAAATAGCCATGTGTTTGGATTAATTCTATAATTGGATCAAGTGATGAGCGTAATTCTGTGCCGGCATCGAGGTAGACAATAACTTTTGTCGTGAATCTATATTTCTCAAATAGTTCTTTCAATAGAAGTGCTTTATAAGCAAATGATTCTAGATTTGCCACATGGGATGGATGAATCTCGAACGGGAATAGTTCTATTTTAATATTGATCATGCATGATAACCGAGAGAGTTGTGAATCAGTCATACCAAGATCGAAGACAAGAATCGTTGTATGTGGTTCATGAAAATGTATCGATCCAATAAGATTTTCCAATCTATCGACAAACTCAGCTGAAGATGCTGTTACTAGTATGAAATCACGACGATTCGTTGCATTTGAAAAGATGGGAAGACGATTATTGAGTTTAGAGACAAAATTTCTATCGTGTGGACGTTTACCAGGTATCAGTAAGGTATTAATGAATGGTTTCAAAAGTAAATAGTAAGCAACAGTAGCAAATGCTATATAAATACTAAAAGTCACCAAAACGATGGGTGTAGAGCGATTATACAGAAAACGAATTTTGTTTGTATAAAAAGTTAGTAAACGCTTGAAGTATTTGCATCGATTATAATGGAGAAGACTCATTAGAGTTAATTAAGATTGAAACACTGGTTACTTGTTGTTGCTTTGATTATTTAATATTTTAATAAACACTATATCATCATCATAAATAACTCGATGAATAATGGCTACACTTGACACATACACAAACTTATATTTCGATGTTTTACGTTCTTGCTTCTCGTTAATAGTCACATGGTAAAATTATACTCTGCGTATCATAGATGAAGTTGTCCACGAATGCAGTATTCTTATCTACAAATATCAATAAAAAGAAAAACATAGAGAGACTAGTATATGGTTGCGTATAATGAAATAGTGAGGACTTCTACCCCACACCTATACCTCTATGGATTAAAATTAAACTCATAAGTCAGATGTTACAAGATAGTAAGAAAATTGTATTCTTATAAGAATTTATCTAAATTATTCTTTAATCCATGTGCATCTATGAAATATGATTGTTCTCTCTCTAGGAATACATTTAATTCAAAAACTGAATAGTTGATACCATATACAGATATACGATAAAAATTATTCTACCTTTAAAAAGCTCGTATAACTATTTTACGTTCTATGAAAGTAACATATATATAGATTATTTCATAGATTTAGAATCTTTTTTTGAATTTTTATATATTTTTCGAATAGATAAAGGTTTGTAACATCAAAACTATCATCGAAAATTGACTATACTCATTTAACATTATTATTACGAAAGTATGTTATTAGAAAACATGCGAAAACATATCAATTTTTTTCTATTTATTTTTCTTTTTGGTTAAAATAATAAAAGTTATAGTGGCACACTCACTGTGAGGCATCTTTATTGTTGTAATCTTATTGAGTCTAATATTAAAATAAGTTTACACGTATTTTTTTTTACATGGTTAAGATAAAGCTATAATGAAAAACAAATTTCATAATATTATTTTAACATACATATTTACTAAGAACGATTGTGTTATAATTTAGTACAAAAAAGACTAACAATTCAAATAATTAGTTGAAAATATCAACTGATACAAAATATGTTAAATTAATTATACTATCGAAGAGGAAAAACAATCAAATGTAATATTCTCAACTTTGACACATAAAACCCATGTGTTCATCTAGTATAATCAAAATCAGTAGATGTAGAGAGAAACACAAAGATGTATTCATCATCAAGATAAATATAACGGTGTCTTAACATTAATAGAGAAGACAAACAAATTCTTATACTTCAATCAATTTTATTCAGTCAGAATGGATTATTCACTTTGCAAGATTATTGAAAAAAAAGTAGTTAATTTTTGTTATATTACTGTTAGATTTGTTTTCTCTTCCAGCAATATTGAACTTTAATATATCGACAATCCTACGTTGTTTTCTTTTGCTCTCTTTTGATTCTATAATCTCACAACTTCGGATGCTTATTCATATTGATATAAAAATACAAGAATGTGAATAGCCCTAAGAAAAGTCGATGGTCAAACAAATTAGCAATAGATTTTTAATATAATAAGAATATAAGTAGCGTAACATATATCTGATGACACTCAACTGATGACGAGTTTCTTGATAATCTAGGAATAATCATACAAAATAAAGAATTCTTGAAAATTTCTAAGATTACACAAGTATTAGAAATATACAAGAAAAAAAAATATAATAATAACTATGCTTATCGCAAGTACATTAGAATCAAATTTAAACTTTGAGAAAAGTAACCCATAAATTAGTTTAACAAATAGATAATAGAAACTAGCGTAATGTCGCACACGTAAAAAACAAACCTAATCAGAAATCTTCAAGAATACCCTATTCTTTTATGATGATCAAAAAAACATAATTTATTATTCTAATAAAAAAAACCCGAGGGCTCTATAAATAATAATTTTTACATCAAATGTGTTCATATCAGAATAAGTTATCGAATTAAAGATTCTGCATTTTAATTAAAATATCTCAAGAGGCATATTGACTTAAACACGTTAACTTGTTTAAAATAAATAGAATCCACTTCTGAGATTTTCGGTCGAGTTTAATGCATATCATTACCTATTCTTTCTGCTTGATCGAATTCACTGCTCATGCACAATGATTAACCTTTATTTTATCACATGCTCTGTCCTTCTCTTACCATATGCTCTGTTCTTCATTTATCATTTTTTCTTATGCTTTCTATCTGCACATTTTTGGTTCTTCCTTCGTAATGATGTATCATTGAGTATCTCTCTCCTTGCTTCTTTCTCTTCTCTTTTTCTTCTGATTACGTACAAAAGAGCACACGCTAATGTATGTGAGGTTGCGATTTTGTGATATGAAGAAACGAGTAAGCTACAATTCCATCTACATTAACATTTCTTCTGTCGAAAATCGTCATTCCTATTATTTTCTAACATCATCAAGAAATACATGTAACAGTATCGAAGAAGTATTTCTACCGAGATCACTTTGATGACCAGAAATAAAATATCATAATGCAACAAATGCTCATAGGATCCATTGTATTGGTAAATAGAGGAAATTCATTGTGTATGATACTTATGATCCGTAGAAAAGCATCGATCTCATATACTGCTTGATGAAAAAAAAATACTATGAGGATCTTTGTAAGATGTCTGTATCAATTCAATAAGAAGTAACGCACATGAAGTTACGAAGAGGAAATGAACCTAATGATCTCTGAGGTGGATTATAGGTAACATTGTTGGATAGAATACATTCATGAGTGTAAGTCTGATTTCATTGTAACATTGATTGAAGACTGAATCTAGTAATGCAGTCAAGTTGATGTTCGAGAGTTGTGTCAACGCATGTATTGCCAAACAGGACGAAATTCGTAATGTTCGATAACTAATAAGCGATAGCATTACTTGTACGAAACATAACAATCAGTACCAGTACATCATTGTTGTTGTGTTTTCAGTTAACTCCAAGCGCAGCTTCTGTTTTCCGTAATGTATTTCTATTATTGTTAAGGCAAATATATATATATATATATATATGTCACCAATAAAAATATTCAGACATTTACATGGCTAGCAACATTCTGCAGAGACAACGCACTCCGTCCTTTCCACTATATGCATTATTTGTATGCTCAATTAAATTATTTTCAAATTAACATCTCTAG